CAATGCTATTGTATTGTAATCCACTTTGTTCTCAGATCAGACATTTAGTTCTTGTCAACTTAATGCTTTAAATTTTCTTCATTTTCTTTTTTAAAAATTATCCAAATAATCAAAGTCCTCAAGTCTGCCCAATTCTTCAGATTATGCAAATATTAACATAAACTTTTTTTCCACAACAATTCCTCTGGATTCCACAACTTTTATGTTGCCAGTTAGGGCTTAACTTCTTGCTTTAATTGTTGTACATGTGTGTTAACTTGTTCAATTTTTCAACAAAGAAAAATAAACTTGTGCAACTAAAACTAACCCGGATGATTTCACGTTTCTAATCTTGTTTCTGGCAGATTACGTTAACTACTAGTCTTCGTAAATTAGTTTAACTTTTCAAACTTTGTATCAATGACGAGTCTTCGTAATTGTTTAAGATTTTGAGGTGACGGAGACAAATTATAATGGTAAACATTATACACACGCAACAGAACTATTCGCACACAAAAAAAAACCCTTTGTAGTAGTATATATACTCTTACAAAGTCCTCCGTGAGAAGAATCACCAAAAAAAAACACTAGAAAACCATGGAGGAGTCAAGCGAGAGGCCAGTCCGGTTAAGGGAATACGAGATCCCAGAATATTCGTGGACTGGAGTGGTAGATATCTCGATGGTGGATGACGACATGACAATCATATCCATTTCACGAGAAGACCGTGCCGCAAAATATCAACAAATGATTGAGGAGATGAAACAAGAGTCGTTGCGGTGGCTTGAGATCCGCGACTTTTTTTCCTCCGACCGCGAAATTTGATAGGGACCAGAGAGTTATTGGTTGAGCCGATCAGAAGAGAGAGATCCTTCATGATTCTCCCACCAAGATACTCATCCAACTTGGTCTTCCACCTCCTAGAAGAAGAAGATCTTCTAGTTCTAGGAGGAGAATCTGAACGGCCACGACTAACTCCTATTCGTGAGGCTTGACGTACACGAGATCTTCCATCTCATGTATCTCGTCGATCCTCACATGTATATCCAACGAGTTATCTCCGCCATAGATTTCTACCACAATCACGGAAAAGTTCTTCTACTCGACGTCAACGCTAATTCTGTAATTGTATAATCGAATTCGGTTTTATCCACGATTCTTGCATGTGTGTGTTTGTGTTTCTTTTTTACATATCGGAATAATTGGATGTCTGATGGAGGTCCCAACAATGGCAACAAGAACATAAAACACACAAGAACTTTCTAACAATTTTTTCTTCATCTTTCATTGATTTATCGTGAGATACTTAAATAGGAGATACAACTTGGAAGTTAAAACCTATAATTTAAGAAGTGGAAAAGTGGGGAATATGCAACGTAAAAGATTATTAAACAATAATTAAATAAATATTTGTTCTCCATCAA